AAAAAAATCCTCCATTAGTGTTTGGCCAAGCTTTATATTGAGGGGTTTATGAATGTGCACCATTATATCCACCTTTATTATCCATCGCTGTAATTGTAGATGGACTGTTTTCACTGGCAGTCTGATTGCATCTTGCACTGAAAATATTAACTTACAAATGGTTCAAATCCCCAAGCATTGCAATCATCACATGCATTGTAGACTGTTATTTCTGACCCTGTTAACTTGATGTCTTTTCCATAAATTGTAATACAAATGTCACTTTAATAAAACATGAGCCAGTTTGACTGAAGCTTCTGCCATATGTTCCCATACAATAGACCTACTTTCATACTCTGATCTTTTTTTTTTTAATTCAAGTTTTTATTTAAAACTTGTTGCCTGTCTGTACATTTTCCAATAAACTTGTATAAATACATTTCTTGTTAATCAAATTGAGTTCCTTCCATTCAAAGGTCATTTTAAGTGTACCCTGTGGGGTTTAAGCCTAATTTAAACCAAGCACAGATAGGACTTTCTGCATTTTTACAGCATTTTGAGTCAATTATTTTCGCACTGTTTGAATTTAAGACAATCTGTGGTGATGGCTTGGGATAAATATTTGAAGTTTAGATGCAATTTAACTGATCAAGACAAACACATTTACCTACATTACCAGCTCTTTGTTCTCTGCAGGATTTCTTTTTCTTTACCACCTCCATGGCAGGGGCATGCTGGATGTCCACGTGCATCTGCTCCTTCTGTACGCGGTTTTTGGAGAGACTCTTGTTGCCTTCCTGGAGATCTTTCACCGAGGCAACATCATTCTGGAGCTGCTGCGGTGCACGCTAACGGTGGTTCAGGGGACCTGGTTCTGGGAGGTAAATCTGAATGTTTTATGCTTGCTTTATGAGCAGATGTTTATGTTTGCTGATTTAGAATTACTCCCAATGTTATCTCCTCTAAACCACAGGTTGGTTTTGTGCTGTACCCGCCCCGCGGCCCCGAGTGGGACTTGAAAGATCCCAACAATATGATGTTCATTACCATGTGTTACTCCTGGCACCTCGCCTTCGCCATGCTTATAGTGAGCGTGCTCTATTGCATCGTCAGCTGGTAAGAACCTGCTCCACAAAAGACAACCCAATAAGACATCCCATTGGGATTTAGATATATTCAAAGAATTTGAAATGCATGTTTTTTTTTTTGTCTTATTTAGCACATAAGGCTTTAAATTGGCCATAGGTGCAGATATAACCAGACACAAGGAGAACAAACCTCTGATTCATATTTAATCAAATTTGTTTTTTGCCACTATTTCGCCATAAAATCCAAGAGAGAAAATTTGTAATACATGTGTTTTTGCTGCTCAAGAATGTAGATTTAAAAAAACAGTGTTCCCTCGTTTATCGCAGGTGTTACGTTCTAAAAATAACCCACGAAAGGTGAAATCCGCAAAGTAGGGAACTTTTTTTTTTACAATTATTATAGATGTTTTAAGGCTGTAAAAACCCCTCACTACACACTTTATACACTTTTCTCAGACAGGCATGGACATTTTGACGCGCTTCTTTCTTGTTTAAACACTCTCAAAGTTCAAACCTTCGTAGAAAAATAAGTCCAGTATTACAGAATAAAACCAAAGATCAAACCCTGTTTTCAAGTCCAGAACATGTGAATAGAGCAGCTGCGAGACAATTCAACATTAATGAATTAATGGTACGGAAGTAGAAGAAGCAAGAAGAAGGAATTGAGTAAAGTTTGACTTATCTGACTGTTTGGTTTACTTAATGCTTCTTATAATCCTTTGACGTAGACACTGTTGTGTTTGTTGTCTTCTGCTAGCGAAGATTTATGTAAATTTGACAGGCTGAACGAATTCTGTACTGTATAGAAGACACAGCACGAGATTGATTGAAAATGGTCTATAGCCGATCAGGACGCAGAACACAATGCGCTGTTTAAGAAAATATATAAATAAAAAATTGCACCCCCAAAAAATCCGCAAAACAGCGAGGCCGCGAAAAGTGAACCGCAATATAGCGAGGGACCACTGTAACACATCTATTAAAAAAAACAAACAAAAAGAAAACCTTTGGATTTCAAAAGTTATACATTTAATTTTAGTTCCAATCATTAGCCCTAGTGCATACCTATAGGGACAGAAATGTACTGTATTTTTCT